CCCAGGCTGGAGTGCAATGGCACGATCTCAGCTTACTGCAACCTCTGTCTCCCAGGTTGAAGTGATTCTTCTGCTTCAGCCTCCTGAGTAGGTGGGACTAGAGGCGCCCAGCACCGCACCTGGCTAATTTTTGTACTTTTAGTAGAGACTGGGTTTTGCCATGTTGGCCAGGCTGGTCTTGAACTCCTGACCTCAGGTGATCCACCTGCTTTGGCATCCCAAAGTGTTGGGATTACAAGCGTGAGCCACTGCGCCAGGCCTCCTGATACTAATTCTTATTGTTCTCCCTCAAAACCTTGACAAGTAGGTGCCAGCCCAGTGAACAGAGTTACTAATAACAGCAGCCCCAGCGTACTGAGAGCTTACACCCTATTGGGCTCTTCACATGCGTCAGCCCAGGAAGCCTTCCCTGCAACTTTGCCAGGTAGGTTCTGTTATTACCTCCAATTTACAGATGGGAAAACTAAGGCACAGAGCAGTAAATATTGTGGGCCTACGTCACAGAACTCCAAAGTGGCAGGGCCTGCCTCTACTTGGTGATGTGTGTGGGGACGCTGCAAGCAGTTCAGTGGGGCTGACTGTCTTCATCATGGTGGGATTGGCTCCAGGAGGGATGGCGGAGATATGAGGCCAGACAGGGCACAGGGCTCTGTTCTGAGGGACCTTGAGGCCTCAGGAGGGCTTTGCACTTTATCCAGGAATCCCAGCAGCCATGAGAGGGTCGTAAGCAGGAGGGGCATCTGGTTGGGTTCCTTTAGCCAGGAAGATGGGGAGGCTGGTGGCAGAGAAGTCCACTGAAGGCTTTAATGCCACTCAGGCCAGGGAGGCAGGGCCCAGATGAGCCAGTGACAGGAGTAGTGGAGAGAGAGTGCGGGGTAGACACAGCTGAAGGGACAGTAGGCAACGCTGAGTAGCCTTGGTTAGCTCAGCACGTTTCTTTGGGTTGAAATGCATTAGATATTTTCAAAAGTTGGTTTATAATCAAATAAAAAAAGAAATGCATCAGATAGAGCCTGACATGGGATTGGTGAGTGGTCAGGAAGTCCAGCTCAGCATACAGCGGGCGCCAAACGTATACTCAGAACTCATCTCAGCAGGCATTACAGGGGCTGTCTGAGTGCATCCCGGAGTGTATACATTTGTCCAGGTGGAACACCTGTAGTTTCCATGGTGGGGTCTACCACAGGCATTTCTGAGTCCTGACCGCCCTGAGCTGTTGTTTTTTCACCATTTCTTTCTTTAGCTCAACTGCCATTATTTATCCTTTCTCAAAACCAGATCCTGGCCGGGTGCAGTGGCTCATACCTGTAATCCCAGCACTTTGGGAGGCTGAGGTGGGTGGATCACCTGAGGTCAGGAGTTTGAGACCAGCCTGACCAACATGGAGAAACCCCGTCTCTACTAAAAATGCAAAATTAGCTGGGCATGGTGGCATATGCCTATAATCCCAGCTACTCAGGAGGCTGAGGCAGGAGAATCGCTTGAACCCTGGAGGCGGAGGTTGCGGTGAGCCGTGATCGCACCATTGCACTTTAGCCTGGACAACAAGAGCAAAACTCTGTTTCAAAGAAAAAGAAAAGAAGAAAATTGTCGGGCGCAGTGGCTCATGCCTATAATTCCTGCACTTTGGGAGGCCGAGCTGGGTGGATCATCTGAGGTCAGGAGTTGGCCAGGCACAGTGACACACCTGTAATCCTAGCACTTTGGGACACTAAGGTGGGCAGATCACTTGAGGTCAGGAGTTCAACACCAGCATGGCCAACATGGTGAAACCCCGTCTGTACTAAAAAACACAAAAATTAGGCTGGGCACGGTGGCTCACACCTATAATCCCAGCACTTTGGGAGGCTGAGGCAGGTGGATCACTAAGACAGCAGTTCAAGACCAGCCTGGCCAAGACGGTGAAACCTGGCCTCTACGAAAAATACAAAAAATTATCCGGGCGTGGTGGTGGGTGCCTGTAATCCCAGCTACAGGTATTGATCGACTTATGACATATGCAATTTACGATCATTCAACTTTACGACCACAATCGCTAGCCATGACTGCTTCGCGCCTGGCAGCGCAAACGTTGCCCAGCTGGGTGTATGACAGTGTGGACCAGCTTCCGGCAGCACTACCGTCTCTGCGTACACCATTTCAACTGTTATCCCAGACTCGGTACAGCAATTTGTGTTTTGTGTCTTGGATATTTTTCATCAAACCCCTCCCAAGATGTCTACCAAGAGGAAATTGTCTTGGTCTACGCCTCAGCCTGCCAAGAAGGAAAGAAAGGCCATCGATCTCGACACGAAAATGAAGGTAATTAAGCAGTACGAAGGAGGAAAGAAAGTGAATGTGATCGCACGAGATACGAAGTTATCACACTCAACTGTGTCAACGATTTTGAAAGATAAAGAAAGAATTCGTGAAGCCGTGAAAGGTTCTGCACCCATGCGATCAACAGTTATAACAAAGCAACGAAGCGGGCCCATCCACGAAATGGAGAAATTGCTATATATTTGGATGGAAGATCAAATTCAAAAACGGACACCATTAAGTCTTTTTACTGTGCAGATGAAGGCGAGAAGTCTATTTCAGACTCTGAAGGAGCGTGCTGGAGAAGATTACAGTCAAGAATTTGTAGCAAGCACTGGTTGGTTCCTGAGATTCAAGAAAAGATTCCAAATGCATAGTGTTCGAGTGACTGGAGAAGCAGCGAGTGCGGATGAGGAAGGAGCACGTAAGTTTGTCGATAGTCTGGATGAATTAATTACAGATGAGGGATATCTAGCAGAACAGATTTTCAGTGTTGATGAAACTGGATTATTTTGGAAACGGATGCCAGCACGCACTTATATTCACAAAGAGGCCAAAAGCATGCTGGCATTTAAAGCATTTAAGGATAGGCTAACTCTGCTGCTTGGGGGGAACATCGCAGGGTTTAAGCTGAAACCGTTCTTAATTTATCACTCAGACAACCCACGTGCGTTCAAGAATGTTAACAAGCACACACTCCCTGTCTACTTTCATTCTCAACGTAAAGCATGGATGACACAAGGATTGTTTGAAGACTGGTTTATAAACTGTTTTATTCCTCAAGTTCAAGAATATTGTTTGGAGAAAGATATTCCTTTCAAGATTTTATTGCTACTTGATAATGCGCCTGGATACCCACCACATCTAGGCGATCTCCATCCAGATGTAAAATTTGTTTTTCTTCCACCAAACAGGACTCCACTCATCCAGCCTATGGGCCAAGGTTCGATTGCTACATTAAAGGCCAACTATCTCTGAACCACCTTCGCTCAAGCAATATCTGCTATAGATGCTGACTCAGAACTAACATTGCGAGATTTTTGGAAACACTACAACATTTTGATGTGTATCAAGAATATCACTACCGCCTGGGAGGCTGTGACGACAAAGTGCATGAATGGCATCTGGAAAAATTGTGTTAAGCGCTATGTTAATGATTTTGACGGATTTGACAGTGAACATGAACTTGAAACGATTCGGGAAAAAATAGTAAAACTCACTAAAGACCTTTCTTTGGAGTGTGAAATGGAAGATGCCGAAGAGTTGCTAGACAAAGAATCCGGAGAACTTACAAATGAAGAGCTAATCGAACTGGAAGAAGAAAGAGTGGTGGAAGAAGAAAGAAGAGAAGCAGAGAAAGAAGAGGAGGAGCCAGAAAGAAAGTTCACCACTAAGGGATTATCAGACGGTTTATCTTTACTGAATAAACTTCTTATACATTTCAAAGCAATGGACCCAAACATCGAACGATTTGCAAGGATTGAACGGATGGCGCATGATGTGTTTCGTCCATATCGTGAAATTTATGAAGAAGAAAAGAAACATACAATTCAGACAAAGCTCACCATGTTTATGAAAAAACCAATTCCGGTAGCCCCAGCTGCTGCCTTAGATGACGACATCAACGATCCGCAGCCAAGCACCAGCGGCCAATAAAATGTTTCGTACATGTTTATATATTTTGATATGTTTTGCAATTGGGAAAATGTTTCCTATGGTATTTTTTACACCTGTATTTTGTATTTTTGAATGCACCTGTATTTTGTAATTTTGTATGTTTTGCAAATATTAAACCAGTTGTACTGGTAATGCAGTGTTTTACTTAAACCTGACGAATGTAAAGGTAAGAAACAAAATGGTGTAGAGATGATACAAATGGCATAAAATGAACAAAGAAAATCATGATATATAACAATAATGAAAGAAAATTATGACAAAATATGACTTAAAGATTTTTATAACATCATTTCACAGTACTGTACATATAGCCTACTCAACTTACGACCAAATCGTGTTACAACCGGTCTGTCGGAACCAATCGTGGTCGTAAGTTGAGCACTAGCTGTACTTGGGAGGCTGAGGCAGAGGTTGCAGTGAGCCAAGGGGGCACCACGGCACTCCAGCCTAGGTGACAGAGCAAGACTCTGTCTCAAAAAAAGCAAAATACAAAAATTAGCCAGGCATGGTGGTGCACACCTGTAATCCCAGCTACTTGGGAGGCTGAAGCAGGAGAATTGCTTGAGCCTGGGAGGCAGAGGTTGCAGTAAGCTGAGATTGCACTCCAGTCTCAGCGACAGAGACTCTATCTCAAAACAAACAAACAAAAAAAACAGCTGGGTGTGGTGGCAGGCGCCTGTAATTCCAGCTGCTTGGGAGACGGAGGCAGGAGAATCGCTTAAACCCCCAGGACGTGGAGGTTGTAGGGAGCCAAGATCATGCCACTGGACTCCAGCCTGGGTGAGAGAGCAAGACTCTGTCTCAAAAAAAGAAAAAAAAAAAATACACTGAGCACTCTAGGGAAAAAGTAAAAAAGGATGAAATCATGTCTTCATGTCCTTTGCAGCAACATGGATGGAGCTGGAAGCCATCATTCTAAGCAAACTAACACAAGAAACAAAAAACCAAACACCACATGTTCTTACTCAAAAGTGGGAGCTACACATTGCACACTGATGCAAAGAAGGGAACAATAGAAATGGGCCTACTTGAAGGTGGAGGGTGAGAGGAAGGGTACAGCTGAGAAACTACCTGTTGGGGCCTGGCTGGGTGGCTCACGCCCAGCCCTTGTGAAGACAGAGGCGGGTGGTTTGATTGAGATCAGGAGTTCAAGACCAGCCTGGGCAACATGATGAAACTTGTCTCTACAAAAAATTTAAAAATTAGTCAAGAGTGGTGGCATACACCTGTAGTCCCAGCTACTCAGGAGGCTAAGGCAGGAGGGTTGCTTGAGCCCAAGAGGTCGAGGCTGCAATGAGCTGTGATCATGCCACTGCATGCCAGCCTGGGTGACAGAGTGGGACCTGGTCCCAAAAAAAAAAAAAAAAAAACGGGGCAGGTCTGTAATCCCAGCACTTTGAGATGCCAAGGCAGGTGGATCACCTGAGGTCAGGAGTTCGAGACTAGCCTGGTCAACATGGTAAAACCCTGTCTCTACTAAAAATACAAAAATTAGCCAGGTTTGGTGGTGCACGCCTGTAGTCCCAGCTACTCAGGAGGCTGAGGCAGGAGAATCGCTTGAACATAGGAGCAGAGGATGCAGTGAGCCAAGATCATGCCCCTGCACTCCAGCCTGGGCAACAGAATGAGACTCCTTCTCAAAAAAAAAAAAAAATCACCTATTGGGTACCATACTTATTACCTGGGTGATGAAACAGTCTGTAAACCAAGCCCACGCAACATGCAATGTATTCGTAGAATCAACCTGCACATGTACCCCTGAAACGAAAATAAAAGTTAAATTTGCAGCTGGGCACGGTGACTCATGCCTATAATCCCAGCACTTTAGGAGGCTGAGGCAGGTGGATCCCCTTAGGTCGGGAGTTCGAGACCAACATGACGAAACCATGTTTCTGACCAGCATGGAGAAACCGCATCTCTACTAAAAATACAAAATTAGCTGGGCAAGGTGGCACATGTCTGTGATCCTAGCTACTCGGGAGGCTGAGGCAGGAGAATCGCTTGAACCCAGGAGGCGGAAGTTGTGGTAAGCTGAGATTGTGTCATTGCACTACAGCCTGGGCAGTGAGAGTGAGATGCCACCCCAAAAACAGAAAAAAAAAGTTAAATTTGTGAAAAAAAAAAAAGTTGTATGCTGAGTTTGCTAAGACCTACGGTAAGAACAAATCTATCTGTGAATGGAAATCTGAATGTGATGTTGTTGTAATTGTTCTTTTTTGTTATTCTTGTTGTTCATCTCTTATTGTGCCGTATGTATGTATGTATGTATGTATGTGTGTATTTTTGAGACAGAGTCTCACTGTGTCACCCAGGCTGGAGTGCAGTGGCGCAGTCTTGGCTCACTACAACCTCTGTCTCCCAGATTCAAGCGAT